TATATATATATATATATGGGGTATTATATGGGGTAAATATATATATATAATATATATAATATATATATATATATATATATATATATATATATATATATATATTATATATATGAATACTATTATTGCAAGTGCCCTATGACAAGAACAATTGAAGAGGAAGCAGAACAGTTACTTGGTATACCAGTACATGGTGTTGATGCCAGCCTCAATCACCAGGAATATATGGAGTCATCAACCTTATTTATTCCTGGTGAACCAGGCCTACCTACAATAAGATAAGGTCTCCCTATTTTAATTACTAATATATGTAGTCTGATACTGTAGTGAATGTTTAGTCATTCAATTTTGATTGATTACACATATAATATACCCCCCCTACCCCACCCTTAATGTGTAAAGGAGTCGATTTGTGAGAATTTGCAAAAATACAGTCCACTTAAACCATCACACAATTTGCTATCGAAATATATAAATTAATGTAAATATAAATTCTAAATAAATTCAAATAACACAGAAATCACAATTGCGTGATGCATCAAATGAACAAATCCACAAGGGCCGTGACGAGGATTCGAACCTGCGTCCGAGAGCATCCCAGATGCTGCCTTAATCGACTGAGCTACGACATGGTAAAAGGAGTTGAAACCGAAGTTCTACTGAATTTACTGGATCCTGCAGCCAGTTCTCCTGAACTTACTTGATCCTGTTTGTGCCTCGGAGAGGCTGCAGGATCCAGTAAGTTCAGTAGAACTTCGGTTTCAACTCCTTTTACCATGTCGTAGCTCAGTCGATTAGGGCAGCGTCTGGGATGCTCTCGGACGTAGGTTCGAATCCTTGTCACGGTCCTTGTGGATTTGTTCACATCTTCCCAGTCCTACGCCACATCATGCCTCAGACCTCCACCGTGAATTCCTTCATCAGTGGCTTCACATCCGTCAATGAATTCATAAAAGTAGGTGTTTATTTTTGTTAGTAACAAAATTAGTTTATCTGTTAAGATATTTGGAAAGATAATCAATTACCTAATAATGGATTACATAAGAATATGGTATAGCAATATTTGATAACATAGGTATACAGTATACCAAATACTGGGTAAGATAGGTATACAGTATACCAAATACTGGGTAAGATAGGTATACAGTATACCAAATACTGGGTAAGATAGGTATACAGTATACCAAATACTGGGTAAGATAGGTATACAATATACCAAATACTGGGTAACATAGGTATACAGTATACCAAATGCTGGGTAACATAGGTATACAGTATACCAAATACTGGGTAACATAGTATACAGTATACCAAATGTAAGGCGATACACTGGTTTAAATTGAACCAATATTGCGATGCACTGGTTTACATTGAACCAATATTGTGATACACTGGTTTACATTGAACCAATTTTGCGATACATAAGTTTACAGTGTCCCAGTACTGTGTTACATAGTTTACAGTATGCCAAAACTGTGTTACACAGGATTACAGAGTAACAATAATAAGTACACAAGTTTACAGTGTTCCAGTACTGTGTTACACAGGTTTACAGTGTACCAATACTGTGTTACACAGGTTTACAGTGTACCAATACTGTGTCACACAGGTTTACAGTGTACCAGTACTGTGTTACACAGGTTTACAGTGTACCAATACTATGTTACACAGGTTTACAGTGTACCAATACTGTGTTACACAGGTTTACAGTGTACCAATACTGTGTTAAACAGGTTTACAGTGTACCAATACTGTGTTACACAGGTTTACAGTGTACCAACACTGTGTTACACAGGTTTACAGTGTACCAATACTGTGTTACACAGGTTTACAGTGTACCAATACTGCGAAACATAAGCTTATAGTGTACCAATACTAAGATACATAAGCTTATAGTGTACCAATACTGAGTTACATACTTTTTCAATGTATATATATATATATATATATATATATATATATATATATATATATATATATATATATATATATATATATATATATATATATATATATATATATATATAATATATATATATATATATATATATATATATATGTGTGTGTGTGTGTGTGTGTGTGTGTGTGTACAAGAGTTCTTACATTCTTGAACAGCCACTAACACGCACAGCGTTCGGTCTGTTTTACATAGGTTTACACTGTTCCAATACTGTTTTACATTGGTTTACAGTGTACCAATATTTGGTAACCATCATTCAGTCGTGAGTAACCATGTAGAGTAGGTCACAGGTAACCATGTAGAGTAGGTCACAAGTAACCATGTAGAGTAGGTCACAAGTAACCATGTAGAGCAGGTCATAAGTAACCATGTAGAGTAGGTCACAAGTAACCATGTAGAGTAGGTCACAAGTAACCATGTAGAGTTGGTCATAAGTAACCATGTAGAGTAGGTCATAAGTAACCATGTAGAGCAGGTCATAAGTAACCATGTAGAGTAGGTCACAAGTAACCATGTAGAGTAGGTCACAAGTAACCATGTAGAGTAGGTCACAAGTAACCATGTAGAGCAGGTCATAAGTAACCATGTAGAGTAGGTCACAAGTAACCATGTAGAGTAGGTCACAAGTAACCATGTAGAGTAGGTCACAAGTAACCATGTAGAGTAGGTCACAAGTAACCATGTAGAGTAGGTCACAAGTAACCATGTAGAGTAGGTCATAAGTAACCATGTAGATTAGGTCATAAGTAACCATGTAGAGTAGGTCATAAGTAACCATGTAGAGTAGGTCACAAGTAACCATGTAGAGTAGGTCACAAGTAACCATGTAGAGTAGGTCACAAGTAACCATGTAGAGTAGGTCATAAGTAACCATGTAGAGTAGGTCATAAGTAACCAAAATCATTTACACACGCATGATATTGTTTTAAGAAAATCACCCATCCGACAAGCTTAATAAATTCTTTTTATCCACTCAGTTAACCACTGGCCACTCCAACTTTTTTTCAGGAATATAAACTTAATTTTTATGATTAAACTTAAGAGTGATTGATGTATAAAATGGTGTAGCAGGTATGCTGGATAAAATAAAACAAATAGCCAGCAGAGAACTACAATAAACAGACATTTTGAGTCCTATTTAATCAGATCTCTGTTCTGGGATAGCCCTAGAGTTTGTTAATTAGTTCTTTAAATTATCTTATCATCCTGATGGTAAACCCCACTTCTTTTTGCCAATATATATATCCTTTGAAATTGCAAGATAAATGTTACTCACCTCATGCCAAAAATGTCATGTTAGATTTAGAGTGCCGTAACCTGAATAGTTCAGCCTTTATTGAAAATAAGGAGTATTCAGAGAAGACTTTGTGGGTTCTCTCTGAACACTAATATTATCTTCTCCTACCACCCCCCATTCTTTTGTATATACACATATATTTGTTTTATTTAATTAAACTGTGTTACAAAAAAGGAGTTACATATAGGGTACAAAGATGATTATCATAAGTTGTCGAGTTCCTCCAGCTCCTCAGATGGCGGGCAGGAACCCTGGATGCAGTGCGCATTTCCCCTCTGTATCGTCACGCTGAAGCGCTGGAAAAAAAGCTGGCAGCTCTAGGGTCCCTTGTTGTTTCAATGAGCCTAGAACGCAGTTCCTTCAAAAACCTGGTAGCACTTTTACCCCGAGGCCTGGTCGACGACCGGGCCGCGAAGACGCTGAACCCTGGAAGCACTTCAAGGTAACCAGGCGCCGAGTGTCTCAGAAGCAATGGGGACAAAATTGTAGTGGAGATCCAGTTCTCTGTACTCACGATATTTGGCTGCTTCCCTATGGGTGGCAGCGCCACCTGGTTGTGCAATACTGAGGTCAATGTAGGTGTTAGCCAGGGTTGATACGCACGTGTATGGGTTCGAGTCACTTCTGGGGTGTGAGTTTTCAGTTGCATATTGTCCTGGGGACCATTCAGGCTTGTTCGCATTTGTGTTCCTCACGTGTGCCCCAAAGAATGAGGTGATTTGGTAAAATGCTATGCCCAAGATTACTATCCGAGTGCCGGCGGTGGGGTGGTTCAAATAGCCTCGGCTATCACCTCATTATGTCCGGTCGTGATGGTCAAGTGGATTAAGGCGTCTTGTACATACCAGTTGCGTTGCTCCTGGGAGTATGGGTTCGAGTCACTTCTGGGGTGTGAGTTTTCAGTTGCATATTGTCCTGGGGACCATTCAGGCTTGTTCGCATTTGTGTTCCTCACGTGTGCCCCAAAGAATGAGGTGATTTGGTAAAATGCTATGCCCAAGATTACTATCCGAGTGCCGGCGGTGGGGTGGTTCAAATAGCCTCGGCTATCACCTCATTATGTCCGGTCGTGATGGTCAAGTGGATTAAGGCGTCTTGTACATACCAGTTGCGTTGCTCCTGGGAGTATGGGTTCGAGTCACTTCTGGGGTGTGAGTTTTCAGTTGCATATTGTCCTGGGGACCATTCAGGCTTGTTCGCATTTGTGTTCCTCACGTGTGCCCCAAAGAATGAGGTGATTTGGTAAAATGCTATGCCCAAGATTACTATCCGAGTGCCGGCGGTGGGGTGGTTCAAATAGCCTCGGCTATCACCTCATTATGTCCGGTCGTGATGGTCAAGTGGATTAAGGCGTCTTGTACATACCAGTTGCGTTGCTCCTGGGAGTATGGGTTCGAGTCACTTCTGGGGTGTGAGTTTTCAGTTGCATATTGTCCTGGGGACCATTCAGGCTTGTTCGCATTTGTGTTCCTCACGTGTGCCCCAAAGAATGAGGTGATTTGGTAAAATGCTATGCCCAAGATTACTATCCGAGTGCCGGCGGTGGGGTGGTTCAAATAGCCTCGGCTATCACCTCATTATGTCCGGTCGTGATGGTCAAGTGGATTAAGGCGTCTTGTACATACCAGTTGCGTTGCTCCTGGGAGTATGGGTTCGAGTCACTTCTGGGGTGTGAGTTTTCAGTTGCATATTGTCCTGGGGACCATTCAGGCTTGTTCGCATTTGTGTTCCTCACGTGTGCCCCAAAGAATGAGGTGATTTGGTAAAATGCTATGCCCAAGATTACTATCCGAGTGCCGGCGGTGGGGTGGTTCAAATAGCCTCGGCTATCACCTCATTATGTCCGGTCGTGATGGTCAAGTGGATTAAGGCGTCTTGTACATACCAGTTGCGTTGCTCCTGGGAGTATGGGTTCGAGTCACTTCTGGGGTGTGAGTTTTCAGTTGCATATTGTCCTGGGGACCATTCAGGCTTGTTCGCATTTGTGTTCCTCACGTGTGCCCCAAAGAATGAGGTGATTTGGTAAAATGCTATGCCCAAGATTACTATCCGAGTGCCGGCGGTGGGGTGGTTCAAATAGCCTCGGCTATCACCTCATTATGTCCGGTCGTGATGGTCAAGTGGATTAAGGCGTCTTGTACATACCAGTTGCGTTGCTCCTGGGAGTATGGGTTCGAGTCACTTCTGGGGTGTGAGTTTTCAGTTGCATATTGTCCTGGGGACCATTCAGGCTTGTTCGCATTTGTGTTCCTCACGTGTGCCCCAAAGAATGAGGTGATTTGGTAAAATGCTATGCCCAAGATTACTATCCGAGTGCCGGCGGTGGGGTGGTTCAAATAGCCTCGGCTATCACCTCATTATGTCCGGTCGTGATGGTCAAGTGGATTAAGGCGTCTTGTACATACCAGTTGCGTTGCTCCTGGGAGTATGGGTTCGAGTCACTTCTGGGGTGTGAGTTTTCAGTTGCATATTGTCCTGGGGACCATTCAGGCTTGTTCGCATTTGTGTTCCTCACGTGTGCCCCAAAGAATGAGGTGATTTGGTAAAATGCTATGCCCAAGATTACTATCCGAGTGCCGGCGGTGGGGTGGTTCAAATAGCCTCGGCTATCACCTCATTATGTCCGGTCGTGATGGTCAAGTGGATTAAGGCGTCTTGTACATACCAGTTGCGTTGCTCCTGGGAGTATGGGTTCGAG